TACGCTTCTGATGCGTATTCTGATCGGGTTTGTTGACTTCCTGTCCCAGTGAATCATGCTTATTTTATTACCTTTTTATTGTGTAAAATACCAGTAGTAGATGAAGAAAGGCGAAGTAGCGACGATGATGGCGTGCGGTGTAGAGATTCTAGCAAGGCTTCCGGCGAAGATAAGAAAGTCGGCAAGTGTGAAATCGGCGTTTGGGCACTTTGAGGAGGATATTGTGGAGTCAAAACGCATGCTTGCCACTGTGAGGGAAAGGTGAGGTGCTAAACTCACCGAAGCGAACGAACAAGGCTGATGATTTTTAATTATAGTTAAAGGAGTGGTGGGATTATAGGTGTGGTGTATTAATTCTTCAAATCTAGGGACGAATTGGGTTGCTGTGATTTAGGGTTCTTTGTGAGGGTTGGGTGATTTGGGATTTTCTTATTAGTTTTAAGAATTTTCCCTTGTTTACCAAAGGATGAAGGAAGGAATGTAGGAAAGAGGACCATGGGAGTTATGGTTTTGGCGGCGAGGGAGGAGAAGAAGGGGGAGAATTTTTTTTGTAATTTTTTATATTTTTATAAATTTTGGACTCATTTACATTTTTTAAAACGTTTAGGAGTAAGATTGCAATTTATTCTTTATTTTTCCTTTCTTTTCTTTTTTGTTTTATTTATATAGGAGGGTATAATGGTCATTTTATGTTAAAAATTGGTAAAAATGACGTTCAGCGCAAAGAATGTGAAAGGTAGGAACGTTCTGGGCCANTTTATTTATATAGGAGGGTATAATTATCATTTTATGTTAAAATTTGGTGAAAAGGACGTTTTGCTCAAGAAAATGAAAAGGTGGGGACGTTCTGCACTAAAAAATCAAACGTATGGACGTTTTTCATAAGGACTGTCATAGGTAGGGACGTTTTGCGCCAATTACCCAATACTTTAGAAAATATGCTCTTTCCTTATGGGAAAGTGAACAAATAGAGGCATAAATAAACAGTATTATTGAGCGATTATGACGAAGTAAAACGAGAACGAAATGCGTTCAAATAAACTCTTTCATTATCAAATATTTGTTACAAACCATGAGATACAAAATACAAGATGCTCTAAAAGTCGCAATTGCAAGTAGACTATTATCGTTCTTCTGTCAATCGCAAAGAAAAGGGCAAATAGGCCTTAATCGCCTTCCTAAATGCATTGTTGCAATGGCAAGTAAGGAGGCTGAGAAGCACTCGCAGCAAGCAATCGCCTTCCATCATGAACTCCTTCTGGAGAACATAAATGGAGGCACTGAGAATACCTTCATTGGCCAATGAACATTTTCTATATCTCCCATATCAAAGATAATATTAAGATAGACGGCGAAATGGATAATAGATCAAATGATCCATTCCTGTTGAAGGAGGAAATAGTTGATTAATTATCTGAAATGACAACAATGGCAAGTAAGCTGATTTTGTGGAGAATGAAGATGAAAAATGCGTAACACATAAGCATTTCTAGATGTGTGAAGGTGAAAAGACGGAATATGAATGACCACTTACATGCATAGTAACCAAAATTAAATGGCCCAAAATCTTGGAAAAGAAGATCGAAATACCAAAAGTTTTTTCTGTGTAAAGATTTTATGAGGAAAAATGTACACGAGTTTAGTGCAAGGTAATTAAATGCTTGGGAGTGTTGACCATTGAAGAAGACGTCAATTATACTATTTCTAAATCCATACAAAATTTATTAGGCAAGTAAATAAAATAGTCGTTCCA